TCTCCTACAATGAATGTCTTATTCTGCTTGACTGTATGAGGATTGGTAATCAGAAATGCTGAACGCCATTTTCAATTCTGTCACTCACATCAATAGAAAGCAAGGATATTCAGGGTTTGTAGTATTTCTTCATTAGCTTGTTATTTAAGAATAAAGAAGAAAGTCTTCAATATTATTTATAAATAGGACACAACTCACTGTACATGTATTGATAGGGCTTTATTTACTTTCTTAACAATGCAAACAGGGTGCCAACAGAAGACCAGCTAAATCCCTGTAAAGGGCCGGTGACCCACTAAACTTCTCTTATAGTACCTGGCACCTGTTTTAGGGCTATCTTATCAGAACGAAGCATACATTCTAACAATATTAATTATTCAATCTGGCCCATATACCATTCTGTTTTCAAGCCAACTAATAAAGCTTAAATTCGTCGTGCTAATCATAATGAAGAAATCATCGCAGTACCTCGTAATTCTAGTTGCGCTAATCTGACGATGAAATCAAAACTTTCGGCAAACCACGGGTCTTTCCTGGGTCTTACCTTTTCTTACGTCTTCTTACCTAAAGGAAAATTTGGGTCTCTGTAATCACCTAGTGTGTGAAACTCGAGTTACAACTTTCTATGTTTAACTTCGAATTATTGTAAACATAATTTTTGGTTTATCATTTAATCAGCCCCTGGTGCCACAAACTACAAGCCCTTTTTGTTTTTATTTAACCACGCGATCGCCTTAGTCAGTTACCATGGACCGCCGATTGTTTCTGGTGCATAGCAGCAAAATATCACGACAAGAAAAATACTTCATACAAAAGAAGAATCGAAAGTTCTCTTATGTTATTGTTGACTCAACGTATGTAAATTATAAAACATTTCGCTTACCCGCATCCCTGGCAACTGGACGAGCTTAATCCCAAAACTTGTTGCCTTTCTTTGTTTGATGAGTACTGTCTAAAATATCAGATTTTAGAAGTAATAAAAGGAAAAAAAAAACGAGTAAAATTCGGATATTCATAAACATAGATGGCTGTAAACCGCCGATCATAAACTGATTCCGAATTTTTTCCCCCCTATATCGACAATCTGTTACTGGCGTCTCAGTCTAAAGGTGCGATATCCAAGTGTAGGTTGTCGTTAATGTTTTGTTCTTTTACTTGTGGTCGGTACAAAAACAAAGAAAATGGCCGGGCGCCCTATCTAAATGGATTCAATTTAACTTGAACTGTCTTTTATAATACTCAGCCTTCCTATTACGTTCCGAAATGTTGAAAGTTTAGTTTTGCAACTGAGCCATTTCCTCCTCAGCGAGTTCGTCTGTACAGTCACAGGAGAAAATAACAATTCCCATTTTTGGATATTTTAGGGAATTTAAAGAATACCCACAAAAATCCCAAATTTGGAAGAATGAGACAAGTCCCAATCAGGGAACTTGGTTGGGAATCCCCCGGTTGGGACTTGTCTCACTTTGCCAAATTTGGGATTTTTATGGGTATTCTTTAAATACCCTAATTTATCCAAAAATGGGAATCCGTTATTTTTTCCTGTGAGTATGAGTCTCTCGACCAGATAATGCGTTTACCCGGTGAGATCAATGGCAGAGGTTGCTTGGTAATGAAATCCTCCGCAGTGCGAGATTTCGTCAGCCAAACGCTTCAGACGTGCATATATCTAATATTCCTAATACCTTACGGGCTGTTTACATGGAATCTTCCTCTTCGAAGAGGAAGATCCTAGCACCAGGAAGTACCCTAGAAGGCGGATCAACTTAGGGCCATATGCATGTTTTTGCAGTTTACATGCAAAGGGGGTTGTACTTGTCCCTAGCGATAGGGGCTTCCTGGAACTAAAGTCTTTGCAGAATTCCTAGCTGAAAGAGAGGAGGATCCTAACACAATGTAAACTGCTTTCGCTGTAAAGAAACTAGTACTAGGCACAAATTAAACCAGACAAAATTGGCGGTCGTTGAGTAGGTAATCACTGTGATAAAGGCCGATCATTTCGTTTGTCGTTACCAGGAGCTTATAACTGTGATAATTCTGCCGAAAAGTGCTTTTTAACACCAATAACGGAGAGCTGAAGGGCCCAAATTGCATTTTTGTTATTGTCGCCCGCGATCTTTGATTCCCTCTCTTCTTGGGCACAACACTGACCGAAATTCGTGCAGGTATTCAACCTGAATGGTTACTGAATTGTTGATCTGAAAGAAACGAACTGGAAATTTTGCATTGACGCTCACTTCCAGGAAATACTGTCAGTAAGTATCTTCTATAACACAATTACCCGTACTTTTCCCAGAGTTCCTCTTCCAATAAACCGATTCCTTTTTCAACTCCTGAATACCGTATAAATTGACTCATTGACTAAATCGTTTATTTTCTTGCATTAAAAAGGGTTTGCGCATCGCAT